GGGAGGAAGGGAGAGAGGAAGGAAGGTGGAAGGAAAGAAAGGGAGGGGGGGAGGAAGGAAGGAAGGAAAGGAAGGAAGGAAGGAAATCAAACAAATAAATATTAAGAAATATATGGGTGATTTCCAGACTTCTTGTCAACAGATCATTAGAATTGAATTGTTCCTCCTTCCTCGTGAATATTATACATACCTTTTGTCCTTCATTTAATCTTATGTTTTTCTCAATCTTCGAATCCAGAAATCGTTACGCCATTTTCCTTTTTTCTTTCACAAAAAGTCCATACAGATACTGCTCAGTTTACAACAGTTCATTTAAGTGACCGTTCAAAGTTACAACTTCACTTTAAAAAGCAACTTACGACCATTTTTCACACTTATGACCATTGCAGCATCCCCATAGTTAACATGATCGAAATGCAAGAGGCTTGGCGACTGACCCCTATTTGAAGACCTTTGCAGTGTCCCTGAGGTCAAATGATCCCCTTTTGGGGAATCCAGATTCACTTAACAATTGTGGCAAGAAAGGTCGTAAAATGGGGCAAATGTCACTGAACAAATGTCTCACTTAGCAACAGAAATATTGGTTGCAAGTCAAGGACTACCTATATAAGGTTTCCAGCCTTTCAGACCAGGTTTTATTGAGATTTTGTGTGTGCGGGGTGTTTGTTTGTTTTTCATTGCATGAAGTCAACACCCCCTAACCAGGGAATCATTTTAATAAATCTCCCCACTTAATTCGATATACTATGGTTAACTTCTTGGTGAGATGTAAGATATTAGCAGGCCCAAAATCCGCAACAGAAAGCAGAAACCACATATTTAAATTGAAAAACGCACAGAAAGAATTCAGATAGTCCTTGACTTACATCCACAACCGAACCCCAAATTACTCTGGTTGAGAGAGACGTTTGGGACCTCTGCCCTCTTTTACAACCTTTCTTGCAACGGTTGTTAAGCGAATCACTGCCATTGTTAAGATAGTTCACATGGTCGTTAAGTGAATCTGGCTTCCCCTTTGACTCGGCTTGTCAGAAGGTTGCAAAAAAGGGGGAATCACATGACTCCCCGGGATGCTGCGACCGTTGTAAATATGAAACAGTTGCCAAGCGTCTTTGAGTTTGGTTCACGGGACCATTGGGGATACTGCAATGGTCGTAAGTGTGAAAACAGTCATAAGTCGCTTTTTTCAGTGCCGCTTTAACTTTGAACGGTCGCTAAACGAACCGCTGTAAATTGGAGACTACCTTTATGACCTTACTGGATTCACCAAGGGACCTCCCCCACCCCGCATCTAAATACTTCTTCAAGTCCCCTCCCTCAAAGGGTCACTCCTTCCTTCTCCACTCTTTATGCTACTATGTCCACCAGCCTTCACCAACACTTTGGTCAGATATTTTGAAGGATCTTTATGGGGATACGGTCGGCATTGATTTTAGGATGTGTTTGGGTCAGTTCCTAGGCCTGAACCAGATGCAGGTATCTACCAGGAAGTCAAAAAAGTCAAAATGCCAGCCCTGGTGATTCCATAATGTATAGGCAATCCTTGACTTACCACAGTTCATAGAGTGACCATTCAAAGTAGAAAGGGCACGGAGAAAACAGACTTACGACCATTTTTCCAACAACCATCGCAGCAGTGCAACGGTTACGTGATCTAAATTCGGACTCTTGACCACTGGGTCATATTTATGACGGTTGCAGCGTCCCGGGGGGGGGGTGTCATGCGATCCCCTTTTGCGACCTCCTGACAAGCCAAGTCGATGGGGAAGCCCAGACTCACTTAATGACCATGTGACTAATTCAACAACCGCAATGATTTGTTGAACAACGGTGGCAGGAAAGGTCATGAAATGGGGCTAAACTCATTGAACAAACATCTCATTTAGCAACAGAAATGCTGGGCTCAATTGTGGTCGTAAGTTGAGGACTACCCGTATTGGGGGAAAAAAAGTAACATATGTCTATTTTTCATTATGATTGTTGCATTGTTGCAGTTGGTCAATTGATCAAAATTCAGACGCTTGGCAACTGGCTCGTATTT